TAGGCAAGAGATCAGAAACAGAAACAACCTTGACAGAGACCTTCAAATGCTCATGGTGTGTATTATATACAGGCATTTATGTATAAACACACACCATCATGTATGTACAAATATACAGATGCTCCTCAAGTTACAATAGGGTTATGTCTCAGTAAACCCATCAATCCTAAGTTGAAAATATCACAAGTCAAAACACTTACGGGACATAACCCCATTGCAAGTTGTGGGAGTATACCAAATGTATATCACTTTCATATCATCGTAAATTTGAAAACTCTTAAGTTGAACCATCCAAAGTCAGGGATCGTCTGTGTATATAAACACACGGAGAACCATCTAACTGTTCGCTAAACATAACCAATTCTATTTAGAGAAGAAGGACATACGCCACAGCAAAGTAGACACACCCCAGCCTTTGGCCTAGTGCAGCGGTTCTCAAACATTTTTCCATTATGGTACATAAGGTAGATGCCACATCACATGTGTAAAACACTCCCATGGTGCAGGAGATTTTGATACAACTTTTAAAACATCTATAGATTAATGAATTACTCTGAAACACTGAAACCCTTACCAGGAAGAGCAGTTCAGTAGTAAATGTCCACGATCACCACACTGAAGCAGGACAAGACTACTGCTTAGCCAGCTCAGTACTTCACTGCCACCACTTCTGCATCCATTCCAGAAAATATATTAGAATGCAGGACATGAGAATGCCCTATGCCATTTATTTATAAAAATAAATCAACACTAATTTATTTTAAAAGCAAATTATTCACTAACTTTGGTATTCTTACAACTAACCAGTAATACATTACGGGCAGTATCCTTTACAACTAATCATGATATACTGGTGTGTCCCTATCCAAGAACAGGGGTGGGAAACCACAGTCCATAAGCAAACCCAGCCTGCTTCCTGTTTTTATGCAGCCTGCAAGCCAAGAATGGTCTTTGGATTTTTCAATGGCTTTTTGAAAAAAATCGAAAGGAAAATATTTGTGACATTTGAAAAGTATATGAAATTCAAAGTTCAGTGTCAATTAAGGTTTTTTGGAACATGGCCATGCTCATTCATTTATGCATTGTCTATAGCAGAGCCAAACAGAGACTGAAAAGCCAAAAAACTACTATCTGGCCCTTAACAAAGAAAGTTTGCCGACCCCTGGGCTAGAGCTAAGAATGACACACAACTTCAGTGATCACGTCTCTTATGCACAAAATCCTGAATACAGACAGTAAACTTAATTCCAGAAATAGTGGTAAATACCATCTAGGATGGAAATTCATTCCTGAGTTGTCCAAACTTTCTGATTTCTTTAATGATAAAAGCCAACTTAATTAAATACAGCTTCTGCATTTTATCTGAAATCATGTTTATAAATTCACCTTTTGACTACAGTGGAGTAATAAAAAAGCACTGGGCTCCAAGTTAGAAGATCTAGGTTTTAGGCAATTCACTTTTAAATTGTTAAATTCCTAAAAATGTATTTAAGTCTTTTTTGATCTGTGTATTAAACCTATTAAAAGAACTAAGATAACCGGTAAAATAATCAAAATGCTTTTAAGCAGAAAAGAAACTTGACACAAAGTAAAACATGCTCTTCTCCCCTAAATATAACTATAAAAAATCCTCCAATTAATTGTAAATTACTAAACAGGGAAAGAAAGGCACCTAGCTAATTGGAGTGTGGATAGTGGGTTCCATTCAGTAAAAGTTTTAATGGATGTACATGAAGGTGCATGAATGTATAGGAAATCATATCACCTCCCTAGGCTTCAGCTGCACTCCTGTAAAATAAGAGCATTGGATTAAATGGTCTCTAAAGTCCTGGCCAGCACTGGTAATTTATGTCAAGTAACCAGACTCAGTTTTTTCATCTGTACAATTGGATAAATAATAGAATCTACTTTCTATAGTTGCACTGAGGATTAAATGTGTTAAATCGTGTAAAGTGCTTAGAGCAGCACTAAGTATGTTTCACTAGCATTATTATTATTTAGGTACTTTACAAAGAACACTGGTTGGGCATCTCCTCTGTGACAAGCAGTATATTAGAAAATGGGAATGCAGACATAAAATAGAAGTTGATTCTCTTATAATAAGTAGGAATTAATGAAACTGAAGTCTATGGAGTTATCACTTCATCATGTTTATCAACAGGCAATTCGTTGAGGTAATGGTCAAAGGCCATTCTGTATCATTGGTGTGAATTCTTATTTTGAACAATGATTATTGTTAGTACTGTTACTAAGGACGTTTCTATTTATGTTTCAAAAAACAAAGTTCAGTGGTTGCTAACTTAATTATTTATGGTTTGAGCACAGGAGGAAGAATATAAAAACTTTGGCCAGTCTTGTAATATACATGAAATGCAAGCCTTCTGAACCAAACAAACTTGCCATAGAAGTATAGTTTCTCATGTATTCATTCTACAAACGTTTGCTGAGTACCTGCTATGGAGAAACGTCTGCTACAATGATGAGTAATGTGTCTGCATTAGAGAGATAACAAGGAGGACAAGCCAGCAATTGTAGAAAAGTATGATATGTTGATGAGGAAGCCCAATGTGCCATGGGAGCATTTAACAGGGACCTAGACCTATGTATGTAGTCCAGGGATTTAGAGGAAAGAATATTTAAGCTGTGACCTGACAGGTCAGTAGGAGTTCATCAAGCCCAAGAGGTGGAGAATATTTGAACGTGGGGAACTAAATGAGAAGTGAGATAGAGCAGGTCTGAAGAACTTAGAGCCTTTCAGTCTTGCTGAGACATATCAAGTGAGGAGGAGTGGCAAAAGATGATACTGCACGTCACAGAACTGCCTTGCATTTTACCTTAATGGCATTGAGAAGTCATTGAAAGTTCTAAGCATAAAAATGCAAAAACTGGTAATCAAATTAGAAACCATTAGTGAAATAATTTGCTTGATGAGAAATGTAAGCGGAATGAAGCTGCATTCACTTCTTCCTTCCCTGCTTGCTACTAAGCTGGAGTCTCTTTTGTTTTAACTTATTTATAACTCAAATACTATACACATAAGAGAGCGAAATATAAAAATATTTGCTTCTTATTTACAACATGGATGCCTGCATTTCAGTATATTTGCTACTAAACAGCCACTAGAACTGAGAAGACACTACACAGGCCAGACTTAGCCACCACCAGAGTGGAGTCAAGGACTTGAACCAGGGTACTTGAGTTTAAATCCTACCCAATTCCATTCCACACTTGATGTCAGTTCTCCTCTAAATGTCAATTTCTTCCCATCTGTAATGAATAGTATTTCTCCTACATTCCTCAGAAGCGTTTGGTAACTGTGTTTATTGATGTTTTCCTTATTTTGGTTCAGATCCCGAAGAATTTGAAAGCTCTCGCCACAACCAGACTTTCACCTGTGACATGAATCTGGAGGGCGGTATTAGAAATCACAATCACCAGTGTTGTTCAGTCACAAGCCTACGAAGTTGAAATCAGCTTTAAAGCAACAAGGCCAGGGTAAACCCGAGAACTCCAGAATGCCGCAGTGGAAACGTCAGCAGCACTAACTATACCTGCAGACTTCTCTCCTCAAAATGGGCTGTTAGCACAGACATTTGGAACCTTTAGAAAAAAGCATTATGTCAAGGCATTATTATGAATTATGCTGACTGCCTGTCCAGTTTATGAGTCTGAACATTTTATTTTATTTATCTTTTTGAGACAGGGTCTCCTTCTGTCACCCAGGCTGGAGTACAAATAGCACAGTCTCAGCTCACTGCAACTTCCACCTCCCGGGTTCAAGCAATTTTCGTGCCTCAGCCTCCCGAGTAGGTGGGATTACAGGTGTGTGCCACCATGCCTGGCTAATTTTTGTATTTTTAGTAGAGACAAGGTTTTGCCATGTCGGCCAGGCTGGTCTTAACTCCTGGCCTCAGGTGATCCACTTGGTTGGTCTCTCAAATTGCTGGGATTACAGGCATGAGCCACCGTGCTCAGCCACAAGTCTGAACATTTTAAATGGATACTCTAGGTGAATTCACTTTATGGGTCATTTTCCCATTTTCAAATTTAAAAAAAAAAAGCCACCTCATAAAAAAAAATATACTCCAAATCTCTACAGTCTCAAAAACTGTTGATTATTAAAATGCCCTAAATTTTAATAAGATGTTTTGTCTGATATAAAAGATCTTTAGGCTGGGTGCGGTGGCTCATGCCTGTAATCCCAGCACTTTGGGAGGTCAAGGCAGGTGATCACCTGAGGTCTGGAGTTCAAGATCAGCCTGACTAACATGGTAAAACGCTGTCTCTACTAAAAACACACAAAAAATTAGCCAGGCATAGTGGCATATCCCTGTAATCCCAGCTACTCAGGAGACTGAGGCAGGAGAATCACTTAAATCTGGGAGGCGGAGGTTGCAATGAGCTGAGATCATGCCTTTGTACTCCAACCTGGCAAAGAGTGAAAATTCATCTCAAAAAAAAAAAAATACACTTTTAATCATAATGTATGCTGGCTCTGACAAGATAATTCACTGTAACAATAGATTATACCTTGGTTTTATAAAATTCAGTGCTAGAAGAGTTCAAATTTTAACTGCTAAGAATTCCCATTTTTTAAAATATCATTAACACAACTTTACATATTCAGGACTGCACACAGTTCAGTCTCTAACCTTTCCAAACAGCAGTACAAATGTTTTCTCATAGTTACTCTCTAATTGAGAAGAAATTTCAAATAAATATTATTTATATGTTTGTTTGTTTGGAGACAGAGTCTGGCTCTGTCACCCAGGGCTGGATTGCAGTGGCACAATCTCGGCTCATTGCAACCTCTGCCTCCCAGGTTCCAGAGATTCTCCTGCCTCAGTCTCCTGAGTAGCTGGGATTACAGGCATGCACCACTACGCCTGAATAATTTTTGTACTTTTTAGTAGAGATGGGGTTTCACCATACTGGCCAGGCTGGTCTCGAACACCTGACCTCAGACAATCCGCCCATCTCACCCTCCCAAAGTGCTGGGATTACAGGTGTGAGCCACCGTGCTTGGCTGAAATTTCAAATAAATATGGACTATTTTCATATCATTGTATTTTCATCTAATCTCCCCATTGGCTGTGTAAATATCCAAAAGCACTTCTGCTTTATGGGAATTTGAAAGTTCTTCTGCCTAAAAGGCTGACTGTGAACTTATGACATCCAGTAAAATTCTCCCTAGTGATACTCAAAATAACTCTCTTGTGCTATACCACTCACAGTAAAGAAAGACCCATTTTGAGACATGATGTCTATACACAGTTCTTTCTCTGCTTTTCTATTTGTTATTTCCAGCCAAAGCTACATGGTATGTGGATTATAAAAAGGCAGCCTTTCTGGGTCTCAAATCCCATTCAGGAAGATGGCAATCATAATTTTCATCAATCCAACTCAGAGACGTTGTGAAGTTAAATAAGAAAACATATTTGAAAATACTTAGAAAAGATGTAAGTACATTCCAAAAGTATAGGGTCATTGTTAAACAATCCTCTTTGACTAGAAAAGAAGCTTGTTTTTTCTTCTAAAAAGCTGAAATCATATGGGTTTTTTTTCTCTCAAATAATCGAAGCTAAAATAATACTGGATATTCTTTAAAAATATATTTATACTAAAGGCTTCCCAATCCATATAATCTGTTGGCCCTGTAGCTGTGGTTAGGGGGTTCCCATCAATAGGTAGAATGTCAGAGCAACTATCAGAAGCAAACAAAATGGAGATGAGAAGGTTTGATAGGCAGCTGATGGCATAAAAATGTCTTCATACTTGTAAATACTGACAACACGCTCTGAAGCCGGCGGTGAGTCTATATCATGTCGCGTGATAGAGCCTTTAAGAAAAAAAGAGAAGGGCAGGGAGCAGTTGAAAAAAGTACAGATTTATAATGGCATAGGCAAACAACAGAAAAATCAAAAGTCTATTTAGTGTTGAACACATAAGCAATGTTTACAAAGATCTGGATTCAGGTATTCGAGTTATCAGAATTCTCTATCATTGTCCATCTAATGAACAGAGAAATCAGTTAAATTTATCCAGAAAGACTAGTTCTCATTAATTTGCACTCCCCTATCAGAACAATGCTGTTGGTCTGGTTCCTGGCATCTGAATGTTAAGACTGCTAGTTATATAACATTATATGATTATTGTTTGATTGCCTCCTTTAAATAGCTATAATGAGTTCTGTCTTATTAATACCCAAATGAGCAAACTATATTTTTATTTCAAACAGCAGAGACTACTAACTTTTTTCTCTCAAATCTATCTTGCACATATGGATCATCAACAACTCCCGACAACACTATTAAAGTCTCCCTTACAGATGGAAGCCCTCTTCTACTATCTGTGGGACATTTAGTACTCTCCCCCAGGCCATGCCAGAGGGAGTGTGGTATGCCAGATGTGTGTCTGTGTGTCTGGTTGATTAGGGTAGAATGGTACAGAAAGCAGGATGATTAAGGTACCAGTCAAGTCTTTGGCTGGGAAACGTTTTAAAAACTTAGTTACAAGTGGAAAGAAGTATAGACTATGTGTAAAATATATTTCATAAGCTTCAGTTGATTAAAAGTGTCTGACCTTCTGAATAATCCACATGAAACTTGGGTTAGGGAGACTAAGGCATAAGCATTCAGTGCAAAAGTCTCCTTAGAAATAGGGCTCAGAGTGAGAGTTTTCAAGGTACTATCTGCTAGGGAAGCCCTGCCAAACTTAACATGTCAGGTCCCTGCTTAGTGTCCATGCTGGCCCCAGTTAGCAAAAATCAAACTCTCCAGTTTGTATGACTGTGGTCTCAGCTACTTGGGAGGCTGAGTTGGGAGGATCACTTAAACCTGGGAGGTGGAGGCTGCAGTGAGCTGTGATTGTTTCTCTGCACTCCAGACTGGGTAACAGAGAAGACTTTTCTCTCAACAGATCACACTCACCTCTCCTACCTAACCGCAACTCACTGGTCACCTGCACTGGCTGCTTGACTTAACTATGTGCCTACAGTAATTTCCTTCCTTTACGGAAATCTGACCCCACACCCCTTTCAAGCCTTAGTTCAAAGTTTTTCCCCTGACAGAGACCTTGGGAGAATGCATAGGATATAATCAATAAAGAGGCATTAGAAGGGCACTCAGGAAACGAGAAAAGCACAAGACTGCATCTAGGGTAGCAACGTGCCTGTTTTGCTGAGACGAAGGGAGAAGAACAGAAGTCTGGAGAGAGCTTATCAGGTAAGGCAGGACCCGATTTGGAGAAGGCTTTGAACTCAGGCTAGTCTGCCATATATGTAAAAAGATGATCTTCTGAAAATACAGCCCTTTCCAATTGGTAAAGCAATTTCAAATACTTGTTTTCACTTAATCCTTACAACAACTCCATAGGAAGTATTATTATCCCCACTTTAGATATAAGGAAATGAAATCCAGAATTTAAATAACAGGCTAAATATCATATAGCTGCCAAGGGGCAGCACCAGTACTCAAACTCAAAGTTTTAGACTTCAAATCTATTTTAGATGACTACATTTCTCATGCTGAGGTATAATTTATTTCCCAGGGTACTGAAAGTAATTGAAGTTATAACTGCAGAGCCACTGTTGGTAACTGGGAAATTTAAAAATGGAAAAGGTGTCACCAATCTAGAGGCATCCAAGTGTCTTCCCAATTGGCAATAGGCAAAATAAAAGGCAGATTATGTCATCTCTGGGCGGATCGGTGGAAACAAATTGAAGGAAGAAAACACAACCAGGGCCTGGTGTGGTGGCTCACACCTGTAATTCCAGCACTTGGGGGTGCCGAGGCAGGCAGATCACCTGAGGTCAGGAGTTCGAGACCAGCCTGCCCAACATGGTGAAACCACTTCTCTACTAAAAGTACAAAAATTAGCCAGGTATGGTAGCAGGCACCTGTAATCTCCCAGCTACTCGGGAGGCTGAGACAGGAGAATCGTTTGAACCCAAGAAGTGGAGGTTACAGTGAGTTGAGATTGTGCCACTGCAGGCCAGCCTGGGTGACAGAGCAAGGCTTCATCTCAAAAAACAAAAAAACACAACCAGATCAGATTAGGCAACAAATAGTTGATGAGCACACAGTAAAGAAAGATGCAATTACCAGGAACCAGAATGAATTCTCAGTGCAAGGACTGCAAGCCAAACTCACTTCCGTTCTTGATCAGACCTTTAGGCTAATCAACCAGAAGGCATGCTCAAGACTAATGTAACTTGATTTTAGCAATCTCTTAAAGGTCTCATGATATCCTTGGGTCTTTGTTGGGGAAATGCTGCTGAGTCTTGCCACCCAAAATGAGGTTATCAATGAACCAGCATGACCAGGTTGCTTAGAAATGCAGAATCTTGCCAGGCATGGTGACTCACACTTGTAATCCCAGCACTTAGGGAGGCCATAGCTGGTGGATCGCTTGAGCTCAGGAGTTCAAGACCAGCCTGGGCAATATGGTGAAACCTCATCTATACTAAAAATACAAAAAAATTAGCCAGGCATGGTGGTGCATGCCTGTAGTCCCAGCTACTTGGGGGCGCTGAGGTAGGAGAATCACTTAAACCTGGGAAGTGGAGGCTACAGTGAGCTGTGATTGTTTCGCTGCACTCCAACCTGGGTGACAGAGTAGGACCCTGTCACCCTTCCTTTCCCAGGGAAGAGGAGGGAAGGGGAGGGCAGGTGAGCAGAATCTTAGGCCTCTACCCCAGAGCTACAGAAAACTCCACTTTAACAATATAACCAGATAATCCTATGCATATAAATATTTAAGGAGTAATGGGTTAAACTATAGGATAATTTGGCAGATTTGTGGCTAATCTGCCACTATTTGTGGCAGAATAGTCACGAAGTGGGCATTAATGAAATGTTTGGTGTCAATTTCTAGAGAAGTCTCCAGAAGCTCTTCCTGTTCAGTATTTTTTATTATTTCTTTCTTTCTTTTGTTTTTTTGAATGGAGACAGGGTCTCACTATGGTGCCCAGGCTGATCTTAAACTCCTGGGCTCTAACCATCCTCCCAAAGTGCTGGGATTACAGGCATGAGCCACCACGTCCAGCCCCTGTTCAGTCTTTTTATATTCACTGCATAGGAGTTAAGAGGATTCACTGGCTTTGGGGTCAGACAGACTTAGGATTGAATTTTAATTCTTCTCCTAATTAGTTGTATAGCTTTGAGCAAGTTTCTTAATCTCTCTAAAACCAGGACAATAATACCTATACCTCTCAAGAACATGGTGAGGAGTCAATGAGAACGCTATGATAATTGAATAGAGCCCTACATATGGCAGATACATGATCTGCTTCATTAAGCACATTACTCATGACATACCATCTTGTACTGCTCTAGCTTTGCATGTGTATAACTATTCGTTTGTTTGTCCCTATGTATAATAAGTCCATTACAACCTTCTGAAGGTAGGAGTCACATCTTCTTTTCCTTTAAATTATCCAGAGTGCTTATCATTCTCTTGTGCACACAGTGTGACTTCAATTAATAATGAACACAAGCACAGTGGTGTCTGGTGTTTAACTCAGATGCTAAAATGTTAGCTTACCCTGAATCGCTGGACCCCAAGCAAACAGATAATACCAACTCAAATGCAGATCAACAATTGTTTCATCTCTGGGAACATTCACAGGGCGTTTAAATCTGCAGGTGACGCGATTATTCTCAAAAACTCCTTCTTCATCTCTGGCAGGGTTTCTCTGAATCTCCTTTGCCCACTGGCCTACATTATAGAAGTGTTGTATGCGGACCCTGCCATTGTCATCATGGACGCAGGCCATGACATCATCACCACCCTAACATGAGAAATGATTAAGAAAAAAAAAAAGTCAAAGGTTCATCTTTGGCACACTGGTCACTAGAAATACACATTCCATCACCTCTGCAATTTGAAATCCCACCAGAAAAAATTCTTTTAAGTGCAATTAAAAAGTCTCAACCAAGAGACTGAAGTTACCATCACAGTAACTGATATTCAATGCCTCCTGAGTGATGTTTAGAGAAGACATCACCACCTATGTAGCATTCCTGCCCAAAACACAAACTAACCTAGTCATGAGAAAATAATCAAACTCAAAGTGAAGGTCATTCCACACAGACAAAAAAACTAGGCCAGGCGTGGTGGCTCACACCTGTAATTCCAGCACTTTGGGAGACCAAGGTGGGCAGGTCACAAGGTCAGGAGATGAAGACCATCTTGGCCAACATGGTGAAACCCCATCTCTGCTAAAAATACAAAAATTAGCCGAGCATGGTGGTGGGTGCCTATAGTCCCAGCTACTCGGGAGGCTGGGGCAGAAGAATGGCTTGAACCTGTGAGGCGGAGGTTGCAATGAGTTGAGATTGCGCCACTGCACTCCAGCCTGGTGACAGAGACTCCACCTCAAAAAAACAAACAAAAAAAAACCCTAGCCTATAATCTTCAAGGAGTCAATGTCATGAAAGACCAAAAAATGAAAAGAAAAAGCTAAGAAACTACTTCAAAATATACATGAGAATAAAATGCAGTTCTAAATGTTCTGACTTAGAAATTTGGTCCATAAACCCAAACTTTCCCTAAAGGACAGTATTGAGACAAATAGCAACATATGAAAACAAACAATATATTTAATAATACTATCATAGCTATGCTAAACTTCCTGAATTTAATAAACTATATAATAAAAAAGAACATTCTTGATTTTAGGAGATACCTTCTTAAGTATTTAGTATTAAAGGATTATGACATTTGTGATTTAAATGCCAGAGTTCCAGAAAATAATAATCAAAGAATAATAATAATTAGTTGTAGTAGCAGCAGCAGCAGTAGTAGAGAGAATGAAGCATGTGTGGCTGATGTAATTCTTTATAAAAATGTTCTGGAACTAGGGAGTCGTGAAGGTGGCACAACACTGAATGAACTGACACTTTAAAATAGTAAATTTTAGTGTCACTTCACTCCAGCCTGGATGACAAAGTGAAAGCCTGTCTCAAAAAACAAAAACAAAAACAAAATAAAAAGGTCAATTCTGGCCAGGTGTGGTGTTGTAATCCCAATACTTTGGGAAGTCAAGACAGGAGGATCATTTGAGCCCGGGAGTTTGAGACCAGTCTGGGCAATACAGTGAGACCTTGTCTCTATAAAAAGCTTTAAAAAATTAGCTGGGCATGGGGGCTCATGCCTGTAGTCCTAGCTACTTGGGAGGCTGAGGTGGGAGGATCGTTTGAGCTGGAGAGGTTGAGGCTGCAGTGGGTCTTGTTTGTGCCACTGCACTAGAGCTTGGGCAATAGAGGGAGATGCTGTCTCAAAAAAAAAAAAAAAAAATACATACACAACAACAACAAAATAAAACGGTTAATTCTGTTATGTGCATTTTACCACAATAAAAAAGTTATCATGTTGTTAATTTAGATTTTCTTTTCTTTTTTTTTTTTTTTTTTGAGACGGAGTTTCGCTCTTGTTACCTAGGCTGGAGTGCAATGGCGCGATCTCGGCTCACTGCAACCTCCGCCTCCTGAGTTCAGGCAATTCTCCTGCCTCAGCCTCCTGAGTAGCTGGGAATACAGGCACGCACCACCATGCCCAGCTAATTTTTGTATTTTAGTAGAGACAGGGTTTCACTATGTTGACCAGGATGGCTTCGATCTCTTGACCTCGTGATCCACCCGCCTCAGCCTCCCAAAGTGTTGGGATTACAGGCGTGAGCCACCGCACCCGGCTAGATTTTCTATATATGAGTTTACTATGCTATCCTTCCTGCTTGTCTGTAGGTTTATAATTTTTTCAAAACAAGATCAAAAAGTTAAAAGTGTTTGGTCGGGCGCAGTGGCTCATGCCTATAATCCCAGCACTGCAGAAAGCTGGCAGATCACTTGAGGTCAGGAGTTCAAGACTAGCCTGGCCAACATGGTGAAACCTCATCTCTACTAAAAATACAAAAATTAGCCAGGTATGGTGGCATGTGCCTGTAATCCCAGCTACTTGGGCGGCTGAGGCAGGAGAATCCCTTGAACCCAGGAGGCAGAGGCTGCAGTGAGCCGAGATAGAGCCACTGAACTCCAGCCTGGGCAATAGAGTGAGTGAGACTCCATCTCAAGAAACACAAAATGTTACAAAAAAAAAAAAAAAAAAAAAAAGTTTGTCAGTTATAACACATGTACCACCCTGTACAGGATGTTGATAATGGGGGAGGCTCCCCAGGGGGTATATGGGCACTCTGTAACTTCTGTTCCATTTCACTGTGAACCTAAAACTGCTGCAAAAAGTAGAGTCTAATTAAAACACACACACACACACACACACACACACACACACACATGTGCACGTGCAAACACACACACGTACCCTTTATTTTTTTTTTTTCAGACAGAGTCTCACTCTGTCACCCAGGCTGGAGTGCAGTGGTGCAATCTTGGCTCACTGCAACCTCTGCCTCCTGGGTTGAAGCAATTCTTCGTCTCAGCCTCCTGAGTAGTTGGGACTACAGGTGCCTGCCACCACGCCTGGCTAATTTTTGCATTTTTAGTAGAGACAGGGTTTCACCATGTTGGCCAGACTGGTCTTGAGCTCCCAACCTCAAGTGATCCACCTGCCTTGGCCTCCCAACGTGCTGGGATTACAGGTGTGAGCCACCATGCCCAGCCAGTTAGTGCTACTTTCAAACTATCCAAAATCTGAGCCCTTCTTGACACTGTCACTGCTGGAACTTTGGTCTGAGCCACCCTCCTCTCTGCCCAGTAGCCCTGCAAATGCCTCAAAATGGGCCAGGTGAAGAGACAGGGTGGGATGCTCTCGGCAGAAACAACAAGTGCAAAGACACAGAGGCCTGAGAAAGTCTGGCAGTTCGGGACCAAGTCTGGCCCAGTGAAAGTGGCAAAGAATGAGGCTCCAGAGGAAAGAGAAAAATGCAGCAAGGCACAAGGAAGAGCAGGGGACACAGAGACGCTGCCTGCGAGCCTGAGTCCCTGCCTGTGCCTGGCCACAGTCCTGTCTGAGGTCCAGAGGTTTTCTTATCCCCTGAGTACAGAGGAAGATAAAACTGTTGAACCAAATTCTTCACTTGCCTGATGTAATCCATCATAGCTATTATAATGAAGCCTCCATAAAAATTCAAAAGGAGGCCAGGCACAGAAGTGCCTATAATTCCAGCACTTTGGGAGGCTGAGGTGGGCAGATTGCTTGAGGACAGGAGTTCAAGACCAGCCTGGCCAACATTGCAAAACCCCATCTCTGCTAAAATTACAAAAATTAGCTGGGTGGGGTGGAACACACCTGTAATGCAAGCTATGTCGGGAGGCTGAGGCAGGAGAATTGCTTAAATTCCTCTCCAGGAAGTAGAGGCTGCAGTAAGCTGAGATCGCACCACTGTACTCCAGCCTGGGCAACAGAGTAAGACACCATCTAAAACAAAAAACAAAAAACAAAAACAATCCCAAAAGGACAGGGTTCAAACAGGTGGAGGTGCCTGAAGGGTAGTGCACCCAGATGGGGCATTGAAGCTCCTCACTCCTTCCCTCATGTCTTTCCCTAAGTGGTTCTTCCATCTAACTGTTCTTCTTTATCCTTTGTGATAGCCTTTATAATAAATGAATAAAGTAGGCCAGGTACGGTGGCTCATGCCTGTAATCCCAGTACTTTGGGAGGCCAAGGTGGGTGGATCACCTGAGGTCAGGAGTTTGAGACCAGCCTGGCCAACGCAGTGAAACCCCATCTTAACTAAAAATACAAAAATTAGCTGGATGTGGTGGAAGGCGCCTGTAATCCCAGCTACTCCAGAGGCTGAGGCAGGAAAATCGCTTGAACCAGGGAGGCAGAGGTTGTGGTGAGCCGAGATCACACCACTGCACTCCAGCCTGGGTGACAAGAGTGAAACTCTGCCTCCATAAATAAATAAATAAATAAATAAATGAGTAAAGTGTTTGAGTTCTGTGAGCCGCTCCAGGAAATTAACTGAACACGAGGAGGTGGTGGCACCCCAGACTTATAGCTGATTGGTCAGAAATACAGGTCACAACCTGGGGCTTGTGACTGAGGCAGTCTTGTGGTTTTGAACCCTTAACCTGTGGGATCTAATGCTATCTCCAAGTAGGTAGTGTCAAAAATAAATTGAATTAGGGGACACCCAGCTGTCCAATGGAGAACTGCTTGGGGTGTAGGGGAACATCCCCATACCTCTGGTCACAGAAGCGTTCTTTCTGTACTGAGAATATGAGAGGGAAAAAAGTTTGTTTTTCCCTTTTTTTTTTTTTTTTTTTTTTTCAGATGGAGTCTCGCTCTGTCGCCAGGCTGGAGTGCAGTGGTACAATCTCGGCTCACTGCAACCTCTGCCTCTCAGGTTCAAGCGATTCTCCTGCCTCAGTCTTCCAAGTAGCTGGGACTATAGGTGCATGCCACCATGCCCAGCTAATTTGTTTTTCTTTCTTTCTTTCTTTTTTTTTTTTTTTCAGTACAGAGGGATTTTACCATGTTGGCCAGGATGGTCTTGAGTTCTTGACCTTGTGATCCACTCGCCTCAACCTCCCAAAGTGCTGGGATTACAGATGTGAGCCACTGCGCCCGGCCTGTTTTTCCCTCTTATAAGTGGTTCTTTTACTTCTGCCTTTTCCATTAAAAAAAAAAAATGCCTTGGATGACTAGTGAAAATACAGAGAAAACCTGAATCCAACTCATGGACTGGAGTCAAGTCCAGCTGAGCCCCGCACATGTGAACAAGCAATAAATGCTCACTGTTGTAAGCCACATAAGGCTTATAACATGAGTGCCTCTTCTTGCAGCCTTACTGTGGAAATAGCTGATGAATAGAGGTGCCACAAGACAGCTTGGATTCTGATAACCAACCCATTCATTTAAGCTATCCTGGATATTTTTTTTAACTTGCATTCAGAGGGCCATAACTAATATGATCATTATACTGCTTTGATCAATTTACCTGCTTTTAAAATCAAAGTAGCACAGTCAACTAAAGAGAAAAATCAGCTTCTATCATGTTTTGCATCTTACCATTTTCTTGTCTGAAGAGAATCCAACTGCTACCCAACCATCTGTGTCTGCACTCAGCTCAAATTCTACATCAGCCCCTATCATCCGGTAGCTGAGGAAGTAGTCACAGGTCTCTGCATTACAGCCTGGTTTGCCGTATCTAGAAGATATATCAAAAGAGACATTACTGCTTCTACTTACTCAAAATACATTAAGAGAGCATCTACCATATTATCAGGTGGGATGCTAAGCAATGTTATTAAACACATTGGATTTCTGCTACCTGGGATCTTAAAAACACAGTTTCACTCTCTTAGGAGGAGCCTTGGAGATGATCTGCCCCATTTTATACATAAGAACTGTGGTTCTGAGATGGGAAGGAGCTTGCCCTGTGGTTGTATAGTGAAGTCAGTGGTTGCAACAGGACTTGAACCTGGGTCTCCAAACTCCCAGCCAGAGTTCTTTACATTATATTAATATCACAGTCTTTTAAATATTAGTTACTACTGAATTATTTCTGAATCCCTTTTAATGGAAAGAAATTCTCCAAGTTAACCATTTAAATAGTTTCTGCTAATTAAATGTATACCAACTCTTTTTAACTTACAAATTTTCACATAACAAACTAACACAAATTTACAAATTCAATATAAATTAAACTAATAAACCAGGAACACCGAAATTCACAACACTCATGCAACAGATAATGGGGCTTTACTGAAAGTAAATTTCTGCTTATGTGCCTGTGGTATCTGACTAGATCGTGCAGCATCTTTGAAATTGAGAGTATGTTCTTACTACTCTCTATAGCATGATGGCTCAACTCTTCACTTTTATCTGTTTGAATTGCCGCAAAACCCTCATTTATGCAATACACCAAATGAATACCCCCATCTGGTACTCACGGACCATGAATGAATGCGTTATTTGTTTATAAATTTTTTTTCTTTTCTTTTCTTTTTTTTACACAGAGTCTTACTCTGTCACCGAGGCTGGAATGCAGTGGCAGAATCTCAGCTCACTGCAACCTCCACCTCCTGGGTTTAAGTGATTCTCCTACCTCAGCCTCCTAAGTAGTGGGGACTACAGGCTCCCGCACCACACCTGGCTAAGTTTTGTATTTTTAGTAGAGACAGGGTTTCACCATGTTGGCCAGGCTGATCTCGAACTCCTGACCTCAGGACATCCACCTGCCTCGGCCTCCCAAAGTGCTGGGATTACAGGTGTGAGCCACCGGGCTCGGCCTTATTTATAAAATTTGCCTTTGTCCTGTTGGGCTACTTGCTGCTAACATGATTACAAATTCAGACACTAAAACATACAACAATATAAGGTGGTTATCCAGATAGTGAGATTACGCAGACATTCGTGGTTTTTAGAGAGCACTACTGAAATGAAAACACAAATTTAAATTTTCTTACAGAGGACTTGTGGATCCTTTCAGAACTGGCAAGCCCTAGTTTGAGAAATGCTGTATTACACTGTTTGCAACATGCTAGAAAGTTTAAGCAATGGGTGGGACAATCTATGTGCAGATGGAAGATATCTGAAGGAACAGGATACAGGGGTGCTAAGTGTTGAGGAGGGGACAGGAATGTGCAACTATCCTGGCAGAGATACCCGAGCAGTCAGGAAGAGATACGGGATCAAGGCAACAGGGCACTGGGGTAAAAAAGAAGAAAAAGAGCAAGGGAAGATAAAAAAGGAGTGAATGGACAAGAAAACAAGTCACTTTGAAGCCGGTAGAGTACTAAAATTCCCTCCCTTCTCAAAATATCCCCAATCACCAGATTCAAACATTGCTGACCATCTTCCTCAATAAGAATATTATTGTATATTTTTATTTATTCCTTAGAAACGGCCTTGTAATCCAAAGAAAGCTCAAAGCCCTTGTATTCAGTTTTTCCTCCTTAGACCTTAAGTACTGAACAGCAGCAAAATCGGGACCTTTGGGTTAGTGACCATCAAAACTTTGCCCCTGACCATCAAATTGCCATTGACCATCAAGTTACTCAGGGCAATTCGTTTTAGAAAGTAAAGGGTTCAAAGGAAGAGGCTTTTCCAAAGAAGCAGAGCTGTCTGGAAGGGAGGCCCATTGTACACACGACTGTTTTCTAGCCCAGACTGTCATGTAGTGATACTACTAATGATGTAGAGACTCACCATGCCTGATAAGAAGCTAGCAACAATGAAAGCTTAATGACTAGCTGGAATCATACAGATATCCATAGGTCATGGCTACTTACTAGAAAAGGAATTGGGTATTACATATGTCTATCATTGCCTGTGCACAGCCCCGGCTGCATAAGCACAGACACGTTCTGTGTCACGTGCGTCTTCTGCATATCACCAATTGGTGAGTAGGAGACACCTGGACCAATGGTGGTATAGCTAGAAAGAACCATGGAAGAATGGTCCCGGGCCCAGGATATGCTAACGTTAAGAGGCCTTTAAGACTGAAAAGTGGGATGGCCATTAGAAAACTTCATAATCCTGCTGAGGTGATGAAGAAGCCCAGGCCCTCTGAGTAGAAGGAACGGCATGCAATTTAAATACTACCCTGAGAAGTAAACCAGTCTTAGCCTTAAAGTTACCCAGCCTGCAGTTCCACCAACCTAAAGCATCCCTTAGTTTTTCCACAGTCGTCCACTTTGATTTTGGCAAATGGATCCACAGGAGGAGCAGTAGGGAAGGGGTAACCTGGGCAGTGAGAATAAAGAAGGGTTAGAAAATCCAGTAACAATGGTTCCAATGAGAACTTTTAAAATTGTGTTGACTACTTTTTTCTCATGCATATCAAGAAATGTCTGGGGACTCAGAAAAGGGCTTTGATTAAGCCTAAGCATCCCCTTCATGGGGGAGGGTGTAGGCCACACACCTTTGGACCTAACCCTGCATGTGAACTCAGAGTAGGTGTGCCCTTTTCTCACTTTACAGGCAAGCAACCTGGGGCACTGAGAAAGGCTACAATTTCATACAACCATGGGCTTACCACTGTCCCCAGGAGTTTGAGAATCACACTTTTAATACGATATACATGCTCTAAGAGAAAGAAGTTAACAATAATACATTTTTATACCTGATTGTAGGATTTTTCCATTTGTGTACTTGACCATAGGATTTTTCCATTCCATTTGAACTTCCATTTTGCCTTAAGCTGTAGGTAACATTTTCTTATGTCACTAAATTCTTTGTTTTTGGTTTTTGTTGTTGTTGTTGTTATTTTTGAGACAGAGTCTCACGCTGTCACCCAGGTTGGAGCACAGTTGTGCCATCCTGGTTTACTGCAACCTCTGCCTCACAGGGTCAAGCAATTCTCTTGCCTCAGCCTCCCAAGTAGCTGGGGTTACAGGTGGCTGCCATCACACCCAGTAATTTTTGTATTTTTAGTAGAGACAGGGTTTCACCATATTGTCTAGGCTGGTCTTGAACTCCTGACCTCAAGTGATCCACCTGCCTCAGCCTCCCAAAGTACCGGGACTATAGATGTGAGCCACCCCACCCAGCTTGTTGCTAAATTCTTTAAACCCATCATCTCTAACAGTTGTCTATCTTATAAGATTACTTACCACCATAATGCATCAAACCATATATTGAAGGGTAAGGCTGCATTATGCCTCCACTTAGTAAGAGAAATCTTTTCTCCTAGGCTCTTTATTCCCATGTACACAGGAATCATGTATGACTTATCTTGTATTCTCTGCCCAGCATAGTGCTTGGCACAGGACACTGAGTAAATGATTGTCAAATGAATAAATAAAATCACTCACAGACATTAGGAAATGTAAATCAGTACAAACTTATTATTCTATTTTATGAGTTTTTTTCTTGTTATTTTGGTCTTTTCTTTGGGATTTACAATTTTTTAAAGTGAGGTTTTGCTAATTTTGTCTATTACATTTATTATATTTTTTAAAAAGCCACAAGGTTATACTTCTTTGGCATACTTCCGTGCACACTGAATAGTCAATTTCTACTACCCTTGACTTTGATCACATGACAAAGAACAGCCCTAACTTTTCACCATCTAAGTAGTTGGGTCACATGCATTACTTTTTCTAGTTTTATGCTTATTTATTTATTTATTTTGAGATGCAGTCTCACTTTGTTGCCCAGGCTGGAGTGTAATGGCACAATCTCAGCTCACCACAGCCTCCACCTCCTGGGTTCAAGGGATTCTCCTGCCTCAGCCTCCTGAGTACCTGGGATTATAGGTGCCTGCCATAATGCCCCGTTAATTTTGTATTTTTAGTAGACACAGGGTTTCACCATGTTGGTCCGGCTGGTCTCGAACTCCTGACCTCAGGTGATCCACCCACCTCAGCCTCCCAAAGTGCTGGGATTACAGGCGTGAGCCACTGCACCCGGCCATTTTATGCATATTTTATGCTAAAACCTATATCTGCTTCAGCACTATAAACCAGGGGTCCCCAGTGTCCAGGCCACTGACCAGTCCATGGCCTGTTAGGAACTAGGCCACACAGCTGGAAGTAAGTGGCAGGCAAGCAAGAGAGGCTTCACCTGTATTTACAGCCACTCCCCATGGCTTGCATACCTGCCTGAGTCAGGTCACTAGTGATATTAGATTCTCATAGGAGTGTGATCCCTATTGTGAACTGCACATGAGAGGGATGCAGGCTGCACGCTCCTTATGAGAATCAAACGCCTGATGATCTGTCACTGTCTCCCATCACCCCCAGATGGGACCTTCTAGTTGCAGGAAAAGAAGCTCAGGTTTCCCGCTGATTCTACTTTATGGTGAGTTGTATAATTATTTCATTAGATAGCATAATGCCTTAATAATAGACATAAAGTGCACAGTAAATATAATGTACTTGAATCATAACAAAACCATCCCCTTGACCTAGTCCATGGAAAAATTATCTTCCACTAAACCACTCCCTGGTGCCAAAAAGGTTGGGGACCGCTGCCATAGACTGAGTCCTGACTTGGATGAGTTTTTTTGTTTTTCTCTGAATAGTTACTGAACCACTAGGAACTACCGTATGTTAAGCATCTTCATATACCTTCTTCCTCTTACTTCTCACTGCAACCCTCAGACCATTTTTCTCAGAATATTTATCCAGGAATTCAATGATTGTTCACTGACAAAGACAATCTCTTTTAATGTTGCATCTGACTCAGGTTCTCTGTCCTCTTCCATTTTCAGACATATCAACCTCACTACTTCCTGGAATCTAGAATAATACGTTAGCATACAGCAGATTCTCAGCTCAATAAATCCCAGTTATTATTACTACTGGATTATTAACACTATTACATTTCGTAAACTGGCCTGAGAATTAATAACTATAGGGTACGACTGTCTCTTTAAGAACAACAGGGCCGGGCGCAGTGACTCATGCCTGTAATCCCAGCACTTTGGGAGGCCGAGGCAGGTGGATCATGAGGTCAAGAGATTGAGACCATCATGGTCAACGTGGTGAAACCCCGTCTCTACTAAAAATACAAAAATCAGCTGGGCATGGTGGCTCGTGCCTGTAATCCCAGCTACTCAGGAGGCCGAGGCAGGAGAATTGCCTGAACCCAGGAGGTGGAGGTTGTGGTGAGCCGAGATCGTGCCATTGCACTCCAGCCTGGGTAACAAGAGCGAAACTCTACCTCAAAAAAAAAAAAAAAAAAAAAAAGAACAACAGTTTTCTAAACTCCAGACAAAAGCAAATTTTGGAACAAAGCTTACTTACATTCTGAACCAGTTTATTCATGTTGGCAAATGGCTTCTCAGGGCTTTTCTAGCACTAATTTTCTATTATGTATGCTTCTAAAACTTGTAATGGGAACTTGTGTTCTGTCAAATGCACTTGGACATGCCTTTAATAACATATTTTCCTTTTATATTGCAACTGTTGAAAAATAAATAATTTGGCCTTTGTCCCTGGTTCCCAGGAAACTCTAAATCCTTGGAATTTCCTGAATGTTTTGTTCTTCATGAGCCCCTTGGATCACATCTGAGTTCATGCTGAGTGATCAGATGACTCAGAATAGAGGCTGGTCACTGGAAAGACCATGTGATTATAAGGTTGGGGCTTTGTGCTAGGTTGGGGGGTGGAGATTGAGTTTAATCATGTGCCCAATGATTAAATCAATCATGCTAACATAATGAGACCCCAATAAAAACTCTGGACACTGAAACACACTGCAGCTTCCTGGTTGAACACATTGATGTGTTGGGAGGGCAATGTGCTGATTCCTCAAGGAGAAGGCATGGAAACTCTGCCTTTGGGAGCCTCTCAGACCTCCTATGTGTCTTCTCACTGACTGTTCCTGAGTTGTATCCTTTATAATAAAACTGTCATAGTAAAAATAGCACATTCCTGAGTTCTGTGAAACATTCTAGCAAATAATAGAATCTAACGTGGGAAGCTTCTTCTATCTTGTGGGAAGACCCTGCACTTAAAGCCATTTGGTCTAAGGTGTGGACAGTCTTATTGTAAACTGTGCCCTTTCACTTATGGGAGTTGCACTAATTCTGGGTCATTAGTGTAGGAACTGAATTGCAGTACACCAGTGGGGAGTTGATGTTGGAATATAAGCAGAGCAGAATTAGATTTTTTCCTGAAATTAAATGATCTCTATTTGGCATGAAATGAGTTTAGACCACATGCCAATATTTAAGCTCTTGTCTCTCAGCTACAACCCAGGCTTCTATAGGCTGAGTACTCTGCAAACCGCTTTTCCTTTGCCAGGTGCTTAGACTCTGCCAATAGCAAGCATTAGAGGGAGGCAGGAGGAGGTAAAGAAGACTGTTCCTTCCTGTGTGATTGCTGTTCCAGTAAGCAAGTTCTCAGCAACTCTACTTCATCCTGGCAGTTGGTCTGAGTTCCCAGCTTTGTTCTAGGCACCCGGAACCAGCCTTATCCCATGCTGCTCCAAGGTATTAGCAGCAGCTGAGCACAGCCTCATTCTCAAAGGATGGGTCACAGCTCTAAGAGGCCCTGGTCTGAGCCCTTTTGATAATCCCAAGCCCTTCTCTTTGCAATTTCAGCCCAAGGGGTGGAAACTTTCCTGAAGTTATTTTCCGTATGTTATCTTGGTGCTCCCTTTTTGCTTCTCCAGTCCCTCAACTTCTTACTTAGACAAATCCCTGGGCTGGTCTTTTGTTTAAACAGCTAGTATGATTTCTGTCTTTCTTTCTGGACTTTGATTGATACAGACTAAATAGATTAACCTCTGAATACTGATATAATGTGTCTGCCAAAACTGTAGCTTATTAGTACTTACCTGAAGGCTGGAAAACAGACATTCAATAGGATCTATGTTTTACACATGGTATACAATTCTAATGGGCAATTATTTTGATTGTAGAATTCCAAGTAGCCTAGGTACACATAATTAAATTGGTATTTCTTGATTTACGGAACACTCACTATCAGTCTATGCAAAGTCCATCTTAGATTTTTTTCCCCCAATCTATCACTAAACCCATTTTCTTCCCCACCTTAGACACCAGGTCCAGTGTATTTTATGCATATCCTTCTGCCAAGGATGGAAGTTTCAACAAAATCTGAACACTCCAACACATCTTAGAAAAGCAATATTTTACTACGGTAAACTGCAAGGACACATTAGCAATAATGGATACCAGACAATTTGGTGTTGGGGTAGGGTTCTCATCTCAGTCCATTCCATGTAGCATAGATTCTGCCTGTCCAGGGTAAAGTCCTGCCAGGTTGCAAAGA